GATCTTGGTAATAAATTTCAAACCGTAATTACACAATGCGAAATTGCCCAGCTCAATTAAGCTTTAAAACTCATAAATTACAAATGTAAACTAATTTCAAACACATCCCTCCAATTAGATGAATTGCAACTCATAAAAAACTGAACTTTTTATCACGGTTCTTACGCGGGCGTCGCGTACTTCGATGACGAGGTCGGAGAGCTTGAGGCGGTCGCGGATGGCCCGGGTGGCGGCCGCCATGTGACCCGGGAACCAGTTAATGTTACCGCCTCCCTTGATAAAACCCATTTCGCCGATTAACGAGCCCTTTCTCACTAAGCCTTTCACGGTCGCCATTTTCTGTAGCTGACAAGCTTAAACCCTTCCTCTTCAATGGAGGAATTTGACTTAAACAGTTAAACCCCGTCCCGAATTTCTCTGTGGCCTCGACCAGTGTGTGTTGGCATAGAGATGAATAGATTTGGGCCGTTTGGTTTTCTTTGAATTAAAGCAATCTTGGGCTACCAATTTATGTATTTTAGCCCAACCCATAATTAAAGCTTTTACATACTAATATTAAATCTGTCTCGGTCTCATGCCGATAATGCTCATTAGTTGATGTGACAGAAGATTGTCATAAATGTGTTACTCCCTCCATTTTGAAATATAAGGCATTTAAGGTTATTGCACAAATATTAAGGAGACATTAATTAATAAATAAATTGACTAAATTAACCTTATTTACTCTAATCACAACCACTCCACACTTCCTTAATTTCAACACAATGAGGGTATATTTGGAAAAAAATGCAAAAATTTGTCTTGATTTTTGAACGCGCCTTATATTTCAAAAAAAATAAAAAATCTTTATACGCCTTATATTTCAAAATGGAGGGAGTATAAATTTGGATATGGTGTTTGAAAATCTAAAGATCTAATACATGGCACGACTGATTGACATATTTTAATGTGTTTACGATGAGTAGGTGGGCATTTTCATAATTATTCAGATATTTCAATTTGAGAATGTTTTACATCTCAATTTTTTTTTTTCTTTTGGCATTATTTGATAAGGGGAAATGTTTAGAGAAAATAAATTGATTGACCTTTGAGATTAATGTAAAGCAATCCTTCTTTTATTTGATTCTATTGTTGGTTTGCATGGTATTCAAATCTTGGTCAAGTTAAAGGTATGTTCTTAGTTCAAATATGTGTAGATTTAATTTTGAGTTAAGAGAGTTTGTATTGGCACCAAGCTGTTCACAATGCAACTTAGTCAAATCCCATAAGATCAAGATTCACTCTATTATTTTCTTAAACAAGTTGAGCTAGAACATCTAAAATGCTAATTGTACATCATAGCTCTCTTCTGAAACTCAATATAACAACAATTTTGCTAGTTAATTAAGTACATAGGACCAAATTATTGCTTGACACGACAACAAGACCTATGTTCAAACCTTCACCCTATTAACATCAAGCCATGACTTTGTACATGTAAACAATAAATATATGTGGTCGAGAACCAAGTGCAATATTTAATTTAGTGTTAGTTAACAGGGATAAGCATGTTTATTTTATTTTATTTTATTTTGTTTTATTTTGTTTTAATATATTATACTAAATGGTATGTACGTATTTGATGGATGATACTCAGTCCATCTGTGTTATATTATACTAAATGATATGTAGTTAACAGATGAACTGAATATCATCCACAAACTCATAAAATACGTACATACCATTTAGTATAATATATATGTGTGTTGATTCAACGATAAAAATATGTAGGTTTTGAATCTTACATTGACAATACTAAGAAAACCTACATGGATTGTGGTTTACACATTAGCAAAGATCATATAGTAGTTCTCTAAACAAGGCCATATGGGACATGATCTGTCATTAGACAGCAATAATTGTCTGAGATATTTTGAAAATATCTCCAAAAAAGATGTACAGATTACTTTTGTCTGAAAGATGTCTAGAGGATGGCAAATAATATCTTCTGAAAATATCTGCCATTAATTATAAACATGTATAACAAGTTACAGCCTATTCTTTCAGATTCTTGCTTGTTGCATGCATGAGGGAACTTAGTTAAAAATGTATTCTGATAGTTTCATAATTTTTGAAGACCACTATTGGTCTGACAATTATACTTTAAAACTGAAATGTTGTATTAATTCTAAAAAGTAACACTTCTGCAGCAAAACTATGATATTTAAAATTAACATCTAAATAGTATGACGAGTTTACCAGTCTAACAATTAGTCAAGTCATATAATTATCTTTAGTAACCTTTTTTACCTTGATTTTTTTTTTCTTAACCAATTAATCAATATTTGGATGAAAAATGTTCATTTGTACATCTATAATCAAAATAAAAACAACAATTAAAATATTTAATGCACAAAAACATCTCTGAATAACTTATTACACAAAATACAACAAACCTAACNGTCAATGTGACATCATGACATTATTTTTCCCCTTTCGTAAACATGGCAACTGACTAACATATCCAACTCAGTAAACCCGTCACCTTGATCTATTTTTCTCAATGGAATGACCTAAGTTCAAGTTTTGTTTCCAATTATATAAAATCAACGCAGTCACCATTACTATATTTATCAATTCCGTGTGAGTTACATGACTAAATTTCCAATCTTTCCATAAAACAACCATCACAAAAACACAATCACTTACTTTTCTCCTTAATAATCAAAAATCAAATCAAATTCAAACCCTAAGAAAAAAAATACTTAGCTCCGGCCCTCCTCCTCCTCGTTCCGGGTTCATCATATACAACGCCTCCGAGTCACTCCCTCCGACCACCCTCTCGAACCGCGCCCTCATATAAACAACCTCCCCTTCCGTCGACTTCCCGTCTTTTTCCGGTATTACCCCTGCCCCGACCGACACCCTCCCGACCATGCCCAACACGTGCCGCTCCCACTCACCGCACCATCTCTCTCGAGCTTTCCCGCATTCCCTCCCGTTGCAATACATTGTCCATTCCCGACAACCCGTGGGCCCCACCAACTCCTCCCGACCCTTCTCGCACTCGACCGCGATCCTCACCATCCCCGAAGAAGATGACGTCATCTCCCTCGCCAGCGTGGCAGTCGTGATGGGAAGCCCGAATAGAAGGACGGGTTCGGTTTTCGGGCCGGCCTGCACAACAAGGCTGACGTGTCCCCTGCGCCGCCCAAAAAAGGTGACCGTGACTTTCCGGCCGAGGGTTGGACTAATTGAGGGCGGTGCCGGGACGATGCTCAGGCACCGGGTGGTGGCCGGGAGGAATGACCGGAGGAAGGCGGAGAAGGCCCTGTTCAGGCGGTGGAACAGGGTGGAGGAGTGGCGGGGGGTGGTGGTGGTGGTGGTGGTGGTGATCGGGTGGTATTGGAAATCGGCGTCGAAATCGAGGATGATGGAGGAGGATGTGGAGAGGCGGTGGTGGCCGCCGGCGGGGATGATCTTGTTGCAGCTGGTGGTGCTCTGTAATGGGATGAAGGGGATGATTTGATCATATTTTCCCATTGGTGGTAAAAAAATTTGAAGTAAATTTTTAATTTTTGTAATTAGAGAGGTAATTAGTGAATTCAAAGTTTTTATTTTTATTATTATTAATTTTTTTTTTTAACAATTGAGATGGAGTGAGAGCAATGGCTAGTGATGAATGTGTGAAAATTAAGGGGAATGTGAAAGGAAAAGAGTGTGGAGGTTTTGTGGAGTTGATGGATATTTATACAAAACAAAGTAGTACTAAGTTACTAACATCTATAGTTTAATATAAATGACACACTCACCCATTTTTCTACTAATGCAGGCCATTTTTTAAAATGGAATTGGAGGCATATTATTAAAATGTGAATGTATCACCAACAACGGGTTATGATATCGTGATACTTCAATCGTGTATGGTATGCTAATTTTATATTAACATGTATCGACTGTGTGAATATAACAACGAAATGTTTAATTCCGAAACATTAACATTAACATTAAGACCATCTTAACAAAAATTGTGAAACTTGGAAAACTTTATATTGCACTTCATCTTTGATTTAATTAATTTATTCCACATAATCTATTGATAAGGTTAGTTTTAAGCCTAACCAACAACACATACACTGATACACCTTTCTACAATATAATTATACAATTTTTGCTAAGAAAACAAAGAATTTTACTATATAAATAATTTTTATTAAAATAAGTATAATAAAACTATCCCTCTAGCCACAAATATGTTTCACATTAAAATTTTGTGATTATATATATGAAATGGTCATACTAGCTAGGCATTATCACAATTCACATCAACACGTGGACACCCTCTTACTAAAGAAAGAAGTTTTAGGTCATCCTTAATTACTAACTTAAATTAGCTTATCACTTAGGAGTTACGGCATGCTTGATATAAATCAAATGAGTCTTGATTGATTTTGATTGGATATATCACTTAGTGAGCACATCTTTCTATAACACAAGTTCATGCATGAAATAATTCAACATTTAGGCGGGTTGATTGTCAAACTATGCAAACAAAATGTATATATATACTATCAAATATTATACTTCTGTTTATGTTATTTCTTAAAATATGACATTTTCTAATAAAACTAAGTGTATTTGTGAAAACAGTATATTGGCCTAACAGAATACCAACCTCAAAACTAAATAATTTTGACTGTATTAACTTATTACACAATCTAGGCCAGTGAACTTATCATTTACTTCTACATTTTACAATAATTGACCAATTTTGGGTAGCCAATACTCCCAAATGAAAGTGACAAACTTACAAAGGTGAGGCATTCAAAGAGAAAATTCAACACTTAATCGGTGCGCATGGTGCAATAATACGTCATTTTGTCCCTATAAAATTTGGATTAGATTTTGCTTTTATTTCTAAACCATAATTAGGGCTCTTAATCAATCTTTTAATCTGTTCAGTTAGGGCCGGTTCCAAACAGCTTGTTTTTACTTGTGCTTACCCTATTCTATTGGTGGCCAACCCATTATTTATGCACACTAAACTGACCACGTGGACAAATTTATCGCCAATAGCTGACATTTTTTTTGTTTTTTAAAATAAAAATTACTCCAGGGGCCCAAACCCGATCTAAAGTACATCCTTAATACTTTAAGTTGGGCCAAACATTACGAAGGTCTAGTCTAAATAGGCCGATGTAAAATTGTATGATTGTCTTATACGGCCCAGGTCAGGGCTTTGGAACTCATACGGTACCTAGTTTTTTGTACCTACACTGTTAAACCCATGGTAAAATCAAACCGATCATTAAACCGGTGAATCTACTGGTTCAAATAGTTCATTGGTCGGATCAGTGGTCGAACCGGTTAAATGAATATATAAATTTTTATTTATTTTATATGCATAATATATAATTATATATATTTTTATCATTAATTTTATATAGTGTATGGCATTTCTCTAAATAAGAGTTCAATAATAAATACAACCAACAATTTTGAATAATGTTAATAACTTTTTTAATTTTATTTTTTTATATTTAAAATTTTAATATATATTTAAGTTATAAAATATAAAGAATAGAAATCTATTTTAATTTTTAAATCATATTTTAAGTTTTTTTTATTATTGATTAAAAAATTAAAAATAAAAATTATGTGCATAACACATAAAAATAAACTAGTTTTTCAGCATAAATCATAAACTTAGTTTACCAAACATAGCATATAAGTTGTTTTTATACAAATAAACTTAGTTTGGTAGGACAAGCTTATCTAGTAAACTTCTTTGGGTAGCTTATCAAATAAACCCGTTGAAATTTTTTGTTTCAGTCGGCTTATCAACTAATTTTCTCAAATACTTTTATCATACCAATTAGTTTTTCAGCTATAAGCCATAAATACGTTATAAATTCAAAATTTGTTCATAAGTTACATCTAACTTATCAGCTATCAACTAGCTTATCAATTAGTTTTATCAATTAGTTTTATCACACCTAAACTTATTTAAATAAAAAAAACTAATCCATCTTTAGTTAGTTTACCTGTTTAGTTACACTCTAAGAGCATCTCCAATGCTATGCTTTTGAAAGTCAATGATTTTTAACACATGTCAATTAATGATTGTAATGTTAATCCACATAGAAATAATGTTAAAAGAATGAAAATTTGAATCAAATTAGTATCTCTAATGCATCAATTTGATAAGAAGTTATTTGTATAGGTGAACCAATTATAATAATTGATTGATACAAAAATAATAAAAAATTAAACCAAATATAAAATGATTAATGAGTCATCATGTTTAACATGGTGTTAGATATTAGAAAGTGAGTTCAACAATGTCAATATTAAATGTCATCCACATCATCATGAAAGAGCTAATGACAAGATGCATTGGAGAATAAATTAGTAACAAAATTTCAAAAGTTAATGATATGGACAAATTTTTATTATGTCAAAAGTCACATTGGAGATGCTCTAACAAGATCAAAGAGAATGTTTACAGTGGAGTTGACTTTGAGAAAACCAACACTTTCATAAAAGGTTGTTTTCCAATGTAAGGCGAGTCTTCTCCTTCACTATTTTCAAAGAGAATCAACTTCGAGTCTTCGAGATCCTCTAATATTCAAACTAATCCCGAATTTTCCGCAGGACTTGACGAATATCAGTCAGAATTCGCAAACTTTGAATAGAGTTACGACTTACGAGTATTCTATATGATACCATACGAACATGAACACTAAAAAGTAAAAAGTACACGAAGTTTGAATTTAAGAACCAATAGGTCCAAAAGGCACATTATAGTAAAGACAAACTTCAATCCAGACATTTGTGCCTGATTCTTGAACATTTTTTCTTGCAGGATCAGTAATAAGTCAATTCAAAGATTTTGCAAAATAAGTATTTCGACCAACTCCATGTTTCCAGTTATTACGAGTATNATAAACACACTGTTCATAAAAAAGCAAACATCATCACTAAAACAAAACAACAGAGTAACACACACACAAACAAAATGTAAATAAAAGATCAAATTATTCTCAAAACGTAATCAAAAGATCAAATTATTCTAATCTCGTAATGTGACTGATAAACGAATCCAACTCCTTCTTGCTAACTCCCCCTTCTTCCACAGAATCCCTAACAGCAACTCCCAACTCTCGAGCCCTCCTCCTAATCTCCTCCCCTTCTTCAGAATCCATCAATCTCCTCACAACACTCTCGACAACACTCGCCGGCACAATCATCTCCTCCCGACCAACCTCCACCCCAATTCTCAACACCTTAGTCATCAAAACCGCGTTCGCCGGTTGGTCCGAATGCATGGGCCAAGCAATAACCGGCACTCCATTGCTCATGCTCTCCATGCACGAATTCCATCCGCAATGGCTCATAAAACCCCCAATTGCACGGTGACCGAGGATTTCGAGCTGTGGGGCCCACTCTCGAACGACGAGCCCCCGGCCCTTCACTCTCTCCTCGAAACCCTCCGGCAAAACGGGCCTTCGGGCCTCTCCTCCCGTAAAGATGTTGCCTTTATCCGCGTCCCGCAACACCCAAACGAACTTCTGCCCGCTCCTCTCGAGCCCCGTCGCCAGCTCGCGAATCTGCTCGTCGGGAACGGAAGTCGTCGAACCGAACGAAACGAAAACCACGGAATTCGACGTCCCCTGTTTGTCGAGCCAGTCGAGGCATTTATGGCTTCCGGAACGAATAACCGGGGCCGGATTAAACGGGCCGACCGCGAAATGCCGTTCCATCTCGTCTTTCCGCGCCTCGGCGAGCAAGTCGAGATACGCACCTTCGATCAATCTATTGGTGTTCTGGATGCTTCCGGAGATTCTCTTCTTTGACTCGAGCTGGAGTTTGAAGAACTCGTTGAGCTCGGGAGGAAAAATCCCTATCGGGCTCGGTGTCTCGTTTAAAACCGAGGCGACCTTGGCCGGTAAATCGGGCTTTCCGGACATGTGCCACGTGAAAAAATACGAGGCGAAAGCCGAGACGCTCCAAAAGGTGTAACACTCTGCGTTTGGCACGGAGTCCAAGTCCTGCACCACGTAAGCCATGAGGGAATCGTACACGACGATAATTCTCGTGTAGTCTTTCGAGAGGTTTTGAATGAATGCGAAAAACGGGTCGCGAAGATTGGTGGTGGCGGAAAACGAGGGGAGGAGCTGAGACGGGAATTTTGTGGGGGCATTCGGGTCGGGATTTGGATTTTCGAAAGCTGGGGTGGGGAGCTCGTGGAAGTGCATTTTGGAGAGGTGGGTCGGGTGCCAGCCGTGGGCCCGGAGCTTGGCTTGCTGGACATGGGCGCCGGAGCCGGTGAAGTAAATGGGGAGGTTAGAGGTGGAGACGAGGCGGCAAGAGAGGTGGAGGAGTTGGTTTAGGTGGCCTTGTGCCGGCAACGGCACCATGACAACCGCGACTTTGGGTTTTTCGTGGTGGCGGCCGCCGTTTTCGTGAGGGCTTGAGGTGGTGGTGGCCATTGGATTTGGAGTAGAGTTTCTATTCTTCTTTAGAGGTTATTACAAGAATGAGTGGATNACTGGTAAAATTTTGGACATATTTTATAGTGTATCCTAACTGATAATTTCACCTATAGTTAGCATTTTTTTTATATAAAAAATTAAAAAGGAATAGAATTGTAGTTGTTATTCTACTATTTTTGGTCCAAGGATTGGAAAGTTCTTGGTCCAATGGTCATCTTGGTCTTGGTCCAAAGGTCATCTTGTGAGAGGTTTTGTTTATAGTTTTCTTGCATACTTTTTCGCTGTCAATGGTCACCGAAAGATGTATTTTTTTCGTCTTACCTGCGATGAGAATAATTAATCAGTGAAAGATGTATTTTTTTCGTCTTACCTGCGATGAGAATAATTAATCAGTGGCAATTTGCACTGCACCTAACACGGTGCTCTCCTTTTTCTTTTCGTAGGAAATATTTTGTATTCTTTTCGTAGGAAATATTTTGTATCAGTCAGACGGGTCTAGAGTTGTAAAAGAATCGAATCAAAGCGAATATTAAGCTATTCGATTTGAATTCGAAAAATTATTCAAGTATTCGTATTCGGATTCGGATTCGTAAACGAACTCAAATTTTGATTCGTATTCGATTCGTTCAAAATATTCGAATACATTCGATTCGATTCAAAATTCGTTTTTCAAAAATATATTATAATTATGAAATATCTTACAATTACAAAAATGGTGTTTAATGTTTCTGCTATTCAATTTGAGTGTAACAATGCATTGAACCCATGAATAAATATAAGTAGTTCATCCTAATAATTTTTACCTTCAAAATTCAAATACATTCCTTAAATACAA